CCGTCGCGAGGTAGATGCCTCAAGGACGCCGCCTGGCGGCAAGGCCGGCGGCCCCGCGCGCCCTCGCATCGAACGGCTACCGAAATTCGTCCCCTTTTGGGCGCTGGCTGGCGGCAATGCCAGCCATCTTGCGCCTGCCGATTATGCGCGCCTACTGCTGTCGCGTGCCAGTCGCCTCAAGGACGCAGCCTGGCGGCGAGGCCGGCGGCCCTGCAGATTCCCACGCTGAACCGATAACTCAGGCTGCTTTTCCCCAACCATCCTATGGTGTTGGGTCATCGTTTTGAAGAGACAGCGCCCCGCGTTCCCTCCTTCCTTCCTTCCTTCCTCCTCCCCCTCCCTCCTCCAATCCTTGCCTCGGCTCTCCGCAATCCGCCCCTCTCCCCGTCAACCCCCTCACTTCGGCACACCCCTCACACGACGTTTCGTGGCCCCAAAGGAGCTCCACCGAAGACCAAGCTGCTACCAACCGCATGCGCCCCCCCCCACCCCCCACCCAGTACGGCGTTTCGTGGCCCCGTAGGGAGCTCCATCAACGATCCCAGTGCTGCCGCCCGCATGCGCCCCCCCCCACACACACCCAGCACAGCACTTCGTGGCCCAATAAAGAGCTCCACCGAAAGTCCCAGCGTTCCCGCCCGCACGCGTCCCCCCATGTCGTGGCCCCGTAGGGAACGAACGAACGAAATACCATACGCCGGAGCGCGTGGGCAAAAGAGGACCATGCCAGCCAAGGCTCACCGCTTTGCGGGGGCGGCTGCACGTCGGCTGCCTCTTAATTCACACCGTGCGCTGCTTGAGGACACACTGCTACCGCCCGCACGCGCCCCCCCCACCCAGTACATCGTTTCGGGGCCCCGTAGGGGGCTCCACCAAAGATCCCAGTGCCACCGCCCACATGCGTCCCCCCCACCCAGTACAGCGTTTCGTGGCCCCGTAGGGAGCTCCACCAAAGATCCCAGCGCTCCCGCCCGCATGCGTCCCCCCCCACCCAGTACAGCGCCCCGTCCTCTTGCAGAGCAGATCTCCGCGCTGCCCTTATGCGGAGACAGCCCCCCTCCCGCCGCCGCCAAGATGGCGATCCTCCCTGCGGTGTAGAAGGCGCGCATGTCCCAAGTAGCGTAGCAAACCGTCTTGCCTCGTGGCCCCCGGCGAGCTGCCCTGGGCCCCCCTACAAGGTTAGGGAGCCAGCGTCTGACGCCATTGTGTGGGATGCCAGCTCATTATCTGATCAGGTGGTGAGACACGCATCATGACTCGTCATTTGTACATACATGGGGTGCAGTCGCTGGGATTCCCTAGATGTCCAGATGGTTGCCGCTTCTAGCTTGGGCTTAGTGGTTGCCTGTGGTTGCTTTGGTCAGCTGCGGTGCATGGCCTGTGTGTGCGCGTATGTGCGTGTATGCGTACGTGTGTGTCTGTGCGCGCGTGCGCGCGTGCGTGTGCCTGGGTGTGCCTGGGTGTGCCTGGGTGTACTTGTGTGCTTGTGCGCGCGGCTGTGTGTGCGGCCGTGTGCGTGCGTGCGCGCGTGTGTGCACGGCGTGTGTTGGGCGGGCGGGACGAGGGGGGTGTACGGCGTTCGTGGTGGCGCGTTCTGGGGGGGACGGGCGGCGGGATGCACGGCGTGCGTGCGGGTCGTGTTCTGGGAGAGACAGGCGGGGGTGGGTGCACGGCGTGAGTTTGCCCAGCAAAGGTCGATTTGTATGTAAAGTGCGCAATTGTGCAAAACGACAGAAGGGCCGTAGCAAACGCACCCACAGTTCCTCTGCCACGGGCAGCAATTTCACCCACAGTTCAACGACAGCAGGGCCGCAGCTCGAGCACCCGCAGTTTACCACGAGCAGCGAACGAACCAAATTTCAACGACAGAAGGACCGCAGCAAACTTACCCACATTTCAACAGCCACCAGCAGCTACACCACAGCATACTAGCAAACGCACCCACATTTCAATTGTCAAGACACTGCCCGAGAAGACTCCAAGAGGACCCATGGCAGGGCCTGAAGAGACCAGCATGGTCGATGAGCTGTTCGAGCCTTTCCAAGGGCTTGTTGTTGGGAGCCTTTTCAAGAGCCTGCTGGGAGCGTTCAGAGGGCCTGATGTTCATGTTCTGGCCTCGCCGGGCCTAGCCCCCGCAAGCTACTCAAATGCCACCCCAAATGAATCCAGCATCTCCACTGTGAGAGGATGCCTCGAGCGGGAGCTTCATGTTGAAATGTGGGTGCGGTTGTTGCCCGTGGTATGTGACCTGTGGGTACGTTTGTAGTGTAGTTGTGAGTGGCAACTGGAATGTAGGTACGTTTGTTGCGGCCGTTCGGCCGTTGAGCTGTGAGTACGGTTGTTGCACGTGGCAGTTGAAATTTGGGAACGGTTGCTGCCATATTGTGGTGTAGCTGCTGTTGGCAGATGAGGTATGATTATGCTTGCTGCGGCACATCTGTTTCGATATGTTGCCATGTGCGTTGCCAGTGGCAGTTAAAGTGTTAGCAAGCTTGCTGCCATCCTGTCGTGTGGCTACCAGTAGCAGCTGAAATGTGGGCACAATTGCTGCGGACCTCATGGGTCCACGGCCCACCACCCATGGCTTTGGGCACGTACGTGTGCTACCATCTTGCGGCGTCGATGCTCGTGGTTGTCGAAATCTGGGTATGTTTGTTGCGGCCCTTCCGCAGTTGTACGACCGTCACCCCTCATGGTTTCACGACTTACCCCCCTCATGGTTTCACGGTTGTCCTTTTTCTGTTTTCACAGTAGTCCACCTCGTCGTTTCACGATTCGCCCCATGTATGTTCTCATGATTATCCTTTTCATGGTGTCACGATTCAGCCCCCCCCATGGTTTCACCATTGCCCCCCCCTTCTGGTGCCACGGTTGCCCCCCCTCTTGGCTTCACGACAATTCTGGGTAACGGTGACGATGACAATGACGACGGTGATGACGGTGACGATGATGATGATGATGATGATGATGATGATGATGATGATGATGATGATGATGGTGATGGTGATGGTGATGGTGATGGTGATGGTGATGGTGATGGTGATGGTGATGGTGATGGTGATGGTGAGGGTGATGATCATGTTCGTGCTTAGGACGTGATGGAAAGTATGAATATCGTATTGGGGTGTTCGTGGGCGCTGTTTGGAGCCGTCGTCGGCCATGTTGAAGCCCTCCAGGAGCGAATCCAAGACGAAGCAAGCAATAGAGCGCACTCTGCAGCTCGATTTTCCGAGGATCTCTCGAGCGAAATCGTTGGTTTCGAGCTCCGATGTCTCAAGCCAACTCTCCGAATTTTTCACACTTTGAGGATCGATCGAGCGAACCGTCAGTTTGTTGTGGGGGGGAGTCCGTAGATTCCGCTACCGATCTCAACATCTCAATGTTTGGAGGATGTCTCGAGCGGGAGCCTCGCTTTCAACATAAAGCATCTTGAAACAATTCGTTCAACATCTCATGTGTGGGACGGTGTCTCAGGCGAAAGGACACTTCCGAATATTCGAGCACTCTCGCTACCCATTTCAGCATCTCGATTGTCCGAGGATGTCTCGAGCGAGGGCCGCATTTTGAACATACGACGTCTTTGAAACCACCTCATTAAACATCAAGTTGTTCGAAGATGTCTCAGGCGAAACGCGGACAAGAACGGGGAACGCCGCTTTTTTCAGCTTGCGTGCGCACGCGCGCATCACCCAGCACGCATGCTGTCACATGGGATGCGGTCGTTGGCTTATAGTTGATGACATGTGGGTACGTTTAGTGCGGCCTTTCTGCCATGGAAGTGTGGATACGTTTGCTGGCAGTGGCAGTTGAAATTTGGGCACGATTGCTGCCATCATATGGTGTAGCTGCTGGTGGCAATTGAAAACTGGGTACGTTTGCGGCCAGTGGCACTTGAAATGAGAGTACGCTGGCTGTCATCAAGTGGTGTAGCTGCTGGTGGCACCGAAAATGCGAGTACATCTGCTGCGGCCGTTCTGCCGTTGAGCTGTGGGTGCGAGTGCTGCCCGTGGCACTTGAAATGTGGGTACGTTGGCGGCGGCCTTGTGGTGAAGCTGTTGGTGGCAATTGAAATGTGGGTACGTTTGCTGCGGCACTTCTGTCGTTGAAATATTCCGCCAATGGCAGTTGAAATGCATGTAAGTTGCTGATATCCTACGGTGCATCTGCTGGCTGTAGCTGCATGTGGTTACGTTTGTTGATGTGTTTCTGTCGTTGGAGCGCGGGTATGTTTGCTGGCAGTGCCAATTGAAATCTGGGCACGCTTGTTGTCATGTTGTGGCGTGGTTGCTGGCGGTAGCTGATATGAGATCATGCTGTCTGCCATCCTGTGGTGAAGCTGCTGGCGTTAGTGGAAATGTGGGCACGTTTGCTGCGGACCTTCTGCCTTTGAGCTGTGGGTGCGTTTGCTGCCCGTGGCAGTTGAAATTTGCTTACGTTTGCGGCGACCCTGTGGTGTAGCTGCTGGTGGCACTTGAAATGTGGGGAGGTTTGCTGGGGGATGGTCGAACCTGGCGTGGCTGGGATGGTATGAGTTCATTTCTAGAATGAACGATGGGGCATAACCATATGTAATTTGCACATCCCCAGGGGGGGCGGTAATGAAGGCCTCGGGGGG